TAAGTCATATTGAGTAATAAGTTAAGTATAAGTCATAAGTAATTATCATAAGACGGCTTTATGCGTTTATTTAGAGGATTGGGAATTAGCTGGGAATTATTTGATGTAATAAAGGAGGCAGAAGGAAGTTCTTGGTGGAATTTGTTTTCATTCTTAGGGTTGAACATCCCGCCGTGCAGGCCGTCCTGCGACATGCGGCCATAAACTACCGATAGAAATCAACTTTAAATCGGCGGACAGCACCAGGAATAAAGGAGAAATAATCTCTTGTTACCGGTGGTGTCTATTGCAAATAAGACGCACAGAAACACAAAATAAATTTGTTTAACTTAACTTAACTTAACTTAACTTAACTTAACTTAACTGTATAATATTTTTTAAATGATTTCAACAAAATATGGCGCGGAAAATGCACTGACGTCATCCATGGTGTGTGGACTAACTTTATTATAGCGCACGGCTCTCGACCAATCATGACGCGCGAAAGTCTTCCAATAGTACAACTCTATATTTCTACTTTCTAATTACAATTCCTCCTACTTTCAGAATGCCATCCTTGTCTAAGAAGGGATCCAGGCGGAATAGTGAGCTTGTTCTCTTGACCTCACATTTCTTCCGTTTCATGGCTGATCTTTTATCGGTCTCTTGATCCTTTAGTCTTTCTAGTGTTGCAATCTCTTCTGCGAAGGTGGATTTTTGGCCTACTTTAATGATGACTTTCTCTGCTTTTTAGTGTCAAGTCTTCTTCTGTTATCTTACATTGACCGTTGTCTTTATTCTGATCGTTGCTATTCTTGAGATACTTTGATTGCAGTTTCAGGACTAATGCTATGGCTCTCTTCAGACGATACCAATTAGAGAAATAAGAAAATCTTTGAAGAAAATCTCTGTTTACATCAATGGTGCCGTTCACYCTACTGTTGAGACAGACTATTTCTTGCGCATCTAGATATTCTTTGCACACTTTGACGTCGACAGGATTCCTTGGCCACATACTTTCAGCCTTCCATAAGAATTCAGGACCTGTAATCCATCGTTTGTCCAGGTCAGTGGGCTCTAATCCCCTGGAGGTATCATCTGCCAGGTTAGAACTTCCTTCCACGTATCTCCATTGTTCTACGGTTGAGGTGGCAAGGATTGTCTTCACTCGATTGGCAATGAAGATCTTGTATCGATTTTGGGCGTTGTTCAGATATTTCAGGACTGTAGTACTATCTGTCCAGTAAGTGCTATCATCGATTCTGACATCTAATTCTCTGTACAGCATGGCTCCGATGCGTACTGCTAAGACAGCTGCGGTTAATTCTAGATGTGGTATCGTTACTGCCTTTAGTGGTACGAGTCGAGACTTGCCCATGATGAAAGCGCAATGGATGTGTCCATTTTCGTTTTGGTCAATCCTTTACATTGCCTTCTCCTTGGATGTGCTTTAAAAATAATTGTTTTGTGCATATTGACTGCATATTGACTGCAAACATTTTATTCTCGTTAGTTTTTTTTAGTCTAACTATAGTCACCTTCACGATGGCTAGTGTTGAACGATATTTTAGCCGTATAGAACATCCGAACTTTTATCGCAAGAACATAACTGTAAAGAAGGTTATGATAACAACCGTAATTGTCTGGATATCAAGTCTTCGATATTTGCTGATTGCTAGCATTTTTCTGAACAGAAACTTTCCTAAATTTGAAAAAGTCCCATCAGCGTTACACTTCAGTATTCTTGGTTTGGTCATCTTGTACTGCTCATGTAAAGTACAGCTGACAGCTTACCGTCAGAGAAGAATCATTGCCCTGCAGCAAGAATCAGTTCAACAGCCAGACGAACAGCAAAAACAAGAACAACGACTCCAGGAATACAAGCGAGTGTTCATGATGACCATGTTAGTGGCTTTGTCAGTTCTCTTTTATACTCCTATAATCGCACTCACTGTTATAGAAGCCTTGACGGATAAAGATGTCATTGGAAAACTTAAGTTATTGTTCGCGCCTATATGTATGACATTTGTTTGTCTCCAGTCTCTTATCAACCCAATCATCATGTCACTGCGTCCTTCCTACATTCGCCAAGCCATAAGAAACAGGCTAGCTGCAATCGGCCTTGTAGAGGGAGCTGGTTAAGACTATGGAAGGTCGATTAACATCCTTTCCATTAATCACTTTTTTCTTGACCGACTGACTTCTCTAATATGTGGCGACTATGAAGGAACTGCATTTATATGCTTTCCAGAAATAAACGTCAAGACGTCTTCTTAGTCATTGCCTTCTTGCGATGTGTACCGTAGCTGACCGAGGAAGGTTGATCAGTTCTCTTCACAATTGTTTGATCTACACGAGCAACACTAGATTCGGCTTGAAAAATGTCCATCAAAAACTTATTACACGTAATGTCAGTTCACATTATGAATACTAGAGCACCTGTCCGTAGGATTGCTCTTCTAAATTAGTAGATACAAACCATGGTACATCACTGGAGGAACGTAAGTGAATATTAACAGGAATCTGCAGGGAGTTGCTCCAGGGGTTCCGGAATCCCCTCTTCCTTGGCAGACAAAGCCTTTTAAAATATGAGACTTTACTTGCAATATCAATAGGGCAACATGTTTTCAGTTAGTCAATCAGTTTGAAACAACAGAACACTCTGAGAATTTTTGCACGCTCCTGATTAAGATGCTTTAGAGAGTCTTCTATAGAATGGCAAATAAGTGTTATGGGCAAGCCTAGCCTCCTCCGCATGCGTCTCAATTCTTTTCCGCATTTCTTTTTCCCGCTAGACCAAGAGGATACCAGAGGGATCCCAAAAGGGCAAAATGAAGGGTTGTCTGCGGAGGAGGCTAGGGCAAGCCATATCTAAATATATTCATACTAATTGCAATGTGTGCCTAAATTCAATGTTTTATATACATGTGAAGAATCCAGCCAATGGCAATTTAATGTAGCCTTTAGATTATGTAATATTTCCATCTACATCTCTCCGAGCACGCTCAATTTCGTCAGAAAAGACAAGAGAGCACGCGTACTTGATCTGGGCAATCAGAGCTCACGTGTAACACTAGATGATCCCACACGTGCGTGAGTTCACGCTATCGACAAATCCAATACCACGTGTTATAACAAATCTTATGAAATTGCTAAAATGCATTTGAAATAATTTGCTTAAAAAGTTGAGCAAATTAGGACAAACTACTTTGACTTCTTTTGTTTGATGTGCGAAGCAACGCCATTTTGTTTAACACTAGCATGTTGGGAGATGCAGTCTTCGAACTATTTCATATCCGCTAACTGCCATCACGCCTTATTGTAAGAAATGGCGTCGCTGTAAATTGCTATTAGAGAACTTTTGTGCAGAAGTTCATAATAATCCGAATTTTGATTGAAGTTTTAAGTAAATGCTGAAGCTTATGTTGGAATTTGATAGGGTAATATAAATATTAGCGTCCGATCCACAAAGGTCTTACGCTCATATTGTATATATTACATAAATCATTAACTAATACGTTTGATTTATCGGCAAACGTTATTTGAGTTGTACAGCAAAAGTGGGAGAAATTCATTACCAATGCCAGCTTTTGCGAATAATTTCACGTGAAAGGTTAAGACATATTCTGTAAATACAGATGTACATATTTTTCGACTTAATAATCAGTACAAATGGAATAGAAAGAGGTCTAAATCGATAGCAAATTTAGAAGAATTGCAGACGTTTTAATGATTTTTCATGATTTTTGTTCCATCGTTTTGTTTACATACAAGAAGCAATTTGACATACAGTTTCGCAAGAAAAAGACGTCTTTAATTTTCTTGTTCATTTAAAGTAGAACTGATTTTCTTCATTAGTAATGATGATAAGGTATATATAGAGGTGGATCCACGGGTTTTCATAGGGGGTTTGGGGTGGGGAAGGTTGACTTTGATTTTTAGAGCAAGAAAATTATAAAAAATTATATCCGAATAATATAGTACGCAATTTATTAGTAGGGCGCAGGCCTTAGGCCTGGGCACGACTTAAGTTCTACCTTTTCTTCAATCTATCAATCAATCAATCGATCTATCTATCTATCAACGTCGCGTATAGTCCCCCATGATGCTTTACGAACTTAAAAATGGTCACGTGGCCTGATAAGACAGGAGACCTAAAGTCACTTAAAACAAAATGGCTGACAGACGGCGGCAAAAAGTTGTCTCGTTTTAAATGGGTCTAAAATGTAGCTAAAATACTCTAAAGAGCTGAAAATCTAACAAAATCAACTGACTAACATCCAAATGACATGGAATAAGGTATATAATTCATGGTTGTCGGATGATTCGTGCAGAAATGACTGGCCATTTTCTACCGCCGACACGAAGAACACTACGTCGCCACAACAAGTCACTGGAAAAAATCGCGCGCTTAAAGGTTGTAAATTTGATGTAAATATCATGTAAGTGTCCAAAATTCTGTAAATTTAATGGAAATCATTTACATCAAATTTACAGAATTTTGGACACTTACATCATATTTACATCAAATTTACAACCTTTAAGGCGCGCGATTTTTTCCAGTGAGTGCTCGATGTCAATCACAAAATCTTCAAAAAATAAGAAATCACAAGGATATTTAAGGTTTATACTTTGATAGAAGAATGATTATTCGATGGACTAAAACATATCAAACCTCATCTGAAAAATATTGATGCCATTTTCTAAGCTGACGATGTGTTTGAACTTGAAAACTGCACGTGTACGTGCTTACTGAACTCTGTACAAAATCTATATTGTGTATGAAGCATTTTAATTCTTTATTAAAATTTGTTTTGATGATTGTTTAACTTGAAAAACTTAGACAAATCCAAAAATATAAACTGTCAGGTACACCTGTTTGATGATGGCACAGAACACCAGATGTAAAATTATAAATTACAAATACAAGAAAAGCACCAAATAAAAAGAACAGAAACACAAGATCTTACATGATTCAAACGATCAAAATAATTTTCAAAGCTATACGATACTGACAAAACTGCAAAGACTGTACCGTTTCTATGTTTTATATGACCTTTCAGATATCTTGCATTGAATATTATAGACGCTCTTAGAGCGTATTTTCGAGTTAGTCATTCTGGAAAACTGAGAAAGACATGATATCTAAAGAAGTTACTTTCAGTTCTGTAAAAAATTATGAGATGTGGTATAACATCAACAAATATTTTGAATACGAAAAAGCTAMCGGCTTGCTGTGAGTATACATGTATCACTTAGGGCCTACATAAGTGTTAAACATGATCGTAGCCCGACGTCATGATCGATTCGATCGTCTAGTTATACTAACAACGCATGTTACTCCGTTTTCTAAAATATTTAGGATAATACGCGCGCTGTGATTGGTCGAAAACCATGTTTGATTGCAGTATCAAAACACGCTCGCGCGCGTCAAAAATTTCTTTTTTCCCGCCGTTTGCATTTGTTGTTGTTATCATTCATTTTCAAGAACAATGAACGAATAAATGCCTATTTATGATGTTCTCTGGGATGATATCCCAGAAGAAGAGCTATCAAACGTTTTAGAAGGTCTAGAAGCTCCAGAAGCTCCAGACAAGTGCAATGTAAGGAGAATTCATCGTTTTATATCGTATCAAAAGTCAGAATTCTTTACAATTTTCGTAATCTTTTAATTTTAGAAAAGAAATAAAAGACGAAATTCCGTGTTTGATACTCTGATCAAAACACTTGGGATGTAGGGAGAGCACTCGAAAAGCTGGAAACCACTCCGCTACGCGTCGTGGTTTCCTACGCTTCTCTCGTGCTCTCCCTACATCCCGCGTGTTTTGATCAGAGTATCAAACACGGAATTTCGTCTTTTATTCCTTAAATCAAACACCATTATTGAACTGTGACTATTTTGAGAAATTGCAGAATTATGAAAAAATGAACACTTTCCACAAAACGCAACATGCTTCTCTACAAACTCTATTTTCTTGAAATTGATCCCTGCTGCCATCCACGCAAATTTCTCGTGGATATTTGAATTTTATTTATTGTTGTTAATGCTTGTTCACTATTTTTCCGATAKACGAATTATCAGATACATGACTCGGCCAAAAGGAGGATACTTCTGGTGTATGAATGCAGAGTTTGATATACAATATTGGACAAAAAGGTTGACAATAGTTCTAATATYTCTAATACATTCTATATGTAAACTAAAAACTCTAGGGATAGATTCAGTCTTTTCCCATAGGTTGTTGCCCCCCCCTCTGCTATACATGAAATAACGTCGGACCCCCCCCCCAACTATTAACCTTAGCTATAAAACAAGCACAAGCGAGTCGAGTCAACTGTAGCAACGCAAAATTCACTAAAGACGAACCCAGATGCAAGGGGTGGCTTACTCATCTGGATCTAAGTGTAAAGACAAAAACTTTCAGGAGGAGCTGACGGGGTCTGTGTTCTGCTAAATAACTGTTCTTGTATGAATTTGTWCTTAGGAAAGGTTTTCAAGGTCCAAAAAAGGCTTATGTAACGTTTTTATGGTCAAAAACGACTTTGATGTTACTTGTGCTTGTTATGTCTAATAAATCATCAAGATGTTTTTCTACATCTTCAATTTATGTGATAAAATTGAAAAAATCAATAGTTGAAAAATCTTGGTCAATTTCAATCCCACATCAACAAGTCTTTGAATTTAGATTTCCATTAGTACGTTTCGTTTCATAATGGCTTTTTCATAAAAAAGATAACCTAACAAGCTTTTAGCTAGCAGATTAAAAATGATCAGTGCTGTTGATAAAGCTTCTTAACTAACTGAAAAAGTAATATCAATATCTTATTAATTGCCTCTTAAATTTGTTTTTGTCATTTTTTACAATTATGGTTGTTATTTACGTTGAATTTAAGATAAGGAAGATAATGAAAATTGTGAATAAAACTTAAGACCCCCCCTGTTAATTAGGTAATTTTACTTTGAGCCCTCCCTATCTTGGCATCAATTTTATGTATAATGCCCCCCTCCTGGTAAATATTGCACAGTCCCTTAGTCCAGTTGTAAAGACATAAAGATAACAACAAAGTCATTTGCACAAAATATTTTTCAATACCCGCGAAGGATTTTGATTATGAAAAACTCCAGATCATGATTACATAAAGTTAAATGGTATTGACAATGTTATTKGAGCTTGAGGTTGAATAATCTTGCAAAAATACAAATATAATAAGTGAAAATGTCTTTGATGTTGGCTTTACGTTTTTAAGTATATCTTGTAAAATTACCATTGATATAATAACTATTCAATTCGTTATAAGTGGGATTTAAGGTGAATCAAAAAAAACTAATGAAATTACTATAGTCATTAAAAAAACCCTTGAAATAGATATTTACAGAATCTTTCTACTTTTCTACATTTACATGACCCGTCATGCATTACCCTCGTGTAGAGGTCTGGGAACAAAGTTGAAGAAAAGAAAAGAAAACAAGCAGACAAACAAAGAATGGGAAAAAAATGTACGCTTTTTTGATGAATTTATCAAACGTACTTGTAATCAGTGAAAAACAATTGACAATAGATTCTCGCTTTATTACTATTTGATATCGTCAGATTTAAATTACAAAATGCCATTTGTTTCGAATGTGCGGCATTACTAAATTGCAATCTATTTATTATTAACCCCTCCCTATTCAAACGAGCTTGACTTCACTATCCCTTCCTACATAAATTCTTCAAATGGAAAATACCTATATTTTACCAATGACGACGTTCGCAGTGACCGTTGTGCCGTTTCAATTTTTTAAGAATGCTTGAAAGATCTAGGTTAAAAATCTTTTTTTTTTTGCAAATTTTAAATGTCTCGCGTTTTAAAATATCCGTCTGTTGCTTTATTTACAATATTGTAGCAAATAATTTTTCAACTACCTCTCTCTATATATTAAACTAGGATTCCTGTCTTAGGAAGGCATGAGGGAATGAGTACGAAAAGATGGTTGCGACTCATACCCTTGGGGACTAGGTACGAATCAACATTCAGAGTTGAAAAGCCGAAAAAAGCAGACTTACAAGCACAGAATTTAAGGCGAATTATAAATGAGAAATTGTTTATTTTTCGAGTGGAAAGTCAAAGACTGTGATTTTCATCACCTGATGAAAATTTATCCTGTATCAAATATATTTATGCTTCAATTTTGCAATTTACGTAATAATTAATTTGCTTTTGTCGTTTCTAGATTTCGTTTTGCCATAGCTTCTTGATTTTTAAAAACATAGTCACATGATGTGTAGTGCAAATCGCCGATTGTGGTTATATATGACGCAAACCCATTATCAGGTCTCTAACGTCCTAACTAGCACAGGAACCCCAAAGAAGTGAGTGAACATCAACTGGAGAATCTACGTAGCACTCAGTTGATGTAATATATTCATAAAGATATAATACAAAACACATAATACAATAGAACGAGAAACAATGGAATACAAWAAAWTTTATGAATACATTACATCAACTGCGTGCTACGTAGGTCACCCCGAACATCAACTCGAATAGTGTTTTGTCTGCTCGAATATTCCTTGTTTGAAGAAAGGAGCGAAGTCACAAAGATCTCTCTTGGTCAGCGGTCTTCCAATGAAGGCAGATACAGGACAGTCGGGTATGCTTGCACATAGTGTCACAAAGGACTTCAAGTACGTCTGAAGAAAACATAAAAGATGTTGAAACTCGATAAAGGTATAGAGGATATTACAGGGGCGCGCGGAGTGTCTATCTCCATTACGTAAAGTTGTTATTTTCACCATAGGCTGCCCAACTATTTAACAATTAGACCTCGAGGTCGAGTGGACTACGAGCTAATAGCCCATGAGGCCGAATGGGCTATTAGCTCGTAGTCCACGAGGCCGAGAGGTCTAATTGTTTTAGTATAAACATACTRATCGGTCAARTAATGAAAACAAATTGAAATATCCTTAAAATAATTTATTAATGAGATACCGCCATTTTGATTTTCCCGCGAGTGGTCTATCACAAATTAGACCATTAGTAGAGTAGCCAATCRCAGCGCAGTATGAGTGATAGACCATTAGTATGTTTATACTAATGCTTAATAGATAAATGGATGTAAGCGAAAAGAAGAAGGGGAGGGAAATGATAGTGATGAAATAGAAGGTGGCATGCATGTATATGGGCAGGGGAAAGGGAAATGTTTGTTGATGACTGGATGTTGTAAGTRTTTGGGGGTGATAGTAAGAGGTGAGTGGAATAAATGAGTTGGAAAGAGATGGAGAACAGTGAACATGTTGAGAAAGGAAGGATAATAATGAACATGAAATTGAAAGTGTGTATGGGAATGACAGGCGGGGAGAAGAATAAAGAGACGAAAGGATGGAGAAACGCGAGGAGAAGAAAATGAGTAAAAAAAAGAGTTAGCATCGGTAGTTGTAAAGGGATAAAAAATAGAAACATGAAAAAGTGAGTTTTATTGTGAGTTTTCTGACTGAGAGGGGATTGGGAATTAAATTTGTCACTTAAAATTCGGCGTCTAAATCAAATACCGTATTTAATCATTTAAGTCGACTAAAATAGGAGTTGTATTCGGCACATGTGAAGTTCGGCGTATAGCGCGGGCCTTATTTACCTCCAATATATACAGTTACCACACGAATGTGTTATTTTCACACAACTTTACGTAATGGAGAAATATAGGTATTTCATAGACAATTATATGATAAACATCTACATTCATGATCACAATAGTCATTGGCACCAATAAGTAGGTCAAACTTACCTCTAGCTGTGCTCGTCGTGCCCGTACGAACTCTTCTGCACGATTACCAAAGAATCGTCTGTTTGGAAAATCCAGTTCCCCAATCTATGGAAATCAATAGAGGACAACTTRCACTTGCGATTCTTTTGAAGCGCGATTCTCGGGTCGATCGTTCCCGGCGATTTTCCATCGCCGCAACTATCACAGGGCTGTTTTTTACACGTACGATTTTAGTTGCGAGATAGCAAAGAGGCGATTATCGCGCTGTAAAAATCGCAAGTGTAAACGGGCCTTAAAAGATATTGCTCCGGGATTTGTTAGCTTCACATGGAAAGATGAAAATCATATTCTGTAGGAAATAAGAGGATAATTGACAAATAATTTAAAGGTTGTAAATTTGATGTAGGTGTTCAAAATTCTGCAAATTTAATGGAAATCATTTACATCAAATTTACAGAATTTTGGACTCTAACATCATATTTACATCAAATTTACAACCTTTAAAGCGCGCGATTTTTCCCAGTTCATAATGCATTGTAATGAAATATAAAAAGCCCTCAGGAGTATTTTTCCATCCCTCATCCCGTCCCTTGCTTGCGAATTCATGAGTCGAAGTTAAGGATCTGCTCGGCGAACATGTTTGCGGGGCAACCCACCGCTTAAATCACCGATGGTGTTACGAAGGGAAATTTTTATGACCATACCTCTACATACATCTTCTTCATAGTATTGTGTAGTTCTCGGAACTTTCTGTACCTTCTATAAACAGACCACGTCTCTCCTCCTATTGTGACCTGGAGGATAAACAAGATTTGTTCATTTGTTGGCTCGTATTTTTTTTAGCTGCTTTTATGCTATTATTACAATTAATCCACAGTTACTACTTCAGTGTCAACAACTTGAATCGCCGGCAATACAACATCAACAATAACAACCGCAATGAACTAAAGAGACGGTACGATCAACAACAACTAGCAGAAACAAGAGAAAACATAAAAAGATAACGACTAGGACAACAAGAATAACCCCCCCCCCCCCCCCCCCCCGTGCAGAGTAAAAACGACAAAATAAACAGATGAATTAATGCAAAAAAAGGGAAAAAAAGGAAAAATTACAAAACGACAATACGAATTACATCGGTGACGGCAATGACTACAGTAGCAACAGCAGAACCAAATCAWAGGGGCACAGCGTTAGCTCACCTTAACTTCGAAGACATGATACGAATCTCGTCCCAGTCCCCTCAATATATAGCGCGGTATTTGTACCATTATTTGATTGCGTCTCATGTTATTGACAGATCTCAGGAATTGATTGACAGGCGTAGGGGGTGGGGTTATGCGGGGAGGTGTGACCGATCCAGTCAGGCTCAGATTACTACCATACATTTCATTCTGAAAAAACAAGAACGATTAATGTTCATTGAAAGTTTGTACGTGTAGTTGGGATACTGTGGTCTCAGAAACTTGCTCATATTTCTTTGTGCCTAGCTGCGTCGTAAGACGTTAATTTAGCCACTTTGCTATYGGGCATGAAAGAAATAAAGTAAACTTTTCAGGCCAGACATGGCAGGCGTTCCTGGTGCAATGAGCGAGAAGACTARGGAGAACGCTTTTAATTGGTTACGAAATAGTGAAGAAAGCGTAAGTTSTTCGAAACTGAAAAAGCCTAGTTATTTGCATTAAATCAGTCAAAATTTAAAAGGTGCATCTTTTTGGCTTTATATAATTTCGACTTATTTTAAGCGCAAAGTTTTAACTTTTAGCGCATAACATCAGTATCCCTGCTTGTCAGGCGCTCATGTAGCTAACCACATGTAGTCATTGACTGCCTTTAATTTTGAGCCGCAATGCGGCGAGTGGTTACGTTAATAGAAATTTCGTGTGACGTGTTCACCTCATCACCATACATATATTGCATGACTTCACCATCAGCGTCTTCGTCGTCACCATCGGGTAGGTTGACATTCTACACAGATTGAGATATGGTACAATTAAAACAACATTGTATATACAAACAAGATGGGGTTTGGACTAGATGATAGAATTACCTGAACACTTACAAATACAAATGCCTTCGAATAACCCAAAATACTTACGGCCATCGATGTGTAGACGGTGAGTCTTTCCTGAAGCTGACACACCTCCCTGCGAAATCAACAAAATAAATGAAAAAAAAATCAGGGTTGAACATTGGGAAAAGGAATAACGGTAGTTCAATAAAATACAAAATGATGATCACAGGCTACTTTATTAACCGTTGCTCCCTCTGACCTGCTGTATATTTTAGTGTCATTTGGTAAWAAACGGAATAAACTAATTAACAAGTCACTGACCACAAGGCTCAATGGACTATCGCTAACTTGTAGTCCACGAGACTGTCTGGTCTAATTGTTTTAGTATTCACAAAGCTATAAGAAGAATATGAGAAAAATAACATAGTTCGGTATATACTAATGTAGATTATAATTCAAGAACAAATCTTCCKTCGYTCTGATTGGTCGAATGTCGACCACGTGACGCGATAGTGTCAGCTGCGGATGAGCACTATCAGTGCATAGAGCCCGCCGCTTCAGAAAATAAATGAAGTAGTTCAAATCTCGGGCATTTTGCTGTGATAGTTGCCCTTARAAACTGGATCGAACTGCGTTCTCGAGCGACTATTTGTTTATGGGAACATCCAGTTTCCGCGGGACCCTATCACAGCTYAATGCCCTAGATTTGACTACTCTTYTTTTTTATTATGCTGTAGTGTTCTCATACTAACCTTTCCGTCTCGTCTAACCGATCACGAAGTTCTTCAATCTCGATCTGTGCTTTTTCCTTCAAATCTTCAATTTCATCTTCTTTTTGTTTGATAATCGAATCAATATCTTCTAGCTTTTCCCTCTCTAGCATTCTTCTTTCCATATCCAATGCAACTTTCTCTTTCTCCATTTCTTTTTCTAAGTTTTCTTTCTGTTTTTCAAGTTCTATTCGTTCGTCTTCTAGTTTTGTAAGCGAAACAGAATGATTTCGTTTGAAATCCTCCATCTCTTTTCGTTGGCGTTCTTCCATTTCTTTTAGTTTGGTTTCCATTTCAACTTGGATTCTGGGAAAACATCGATAAAGTTTTTTTTAGTTATTATTAAATAGAAAATAAAATTTAAAATGAATRAGGAATGTGACAACTGACATTAATGTAAGGAAGAAGAAAAAAAAGGAAAACCACGAAAGCTTATTCACGAGGGGGTTGGGAGGGCAAAGTACAACTGTCTAGTTGAAGAGTAAAAACAGTTAGTATTTTAAATTAAATTAATCCCTATTATAAGATTTTCTGTTGTTGTTATTAGTTGTTGCTGCTGTAATTTTGAAAAAGTGGCACATAAAGCATGAAAAGGCATTTGGGTGATTTTTAGCTGAGATGCAATGAAAAACAACAACAACTCCAAAAACAGTTAAAAAACGAGACTGCTTATCCCATCATTTTTTGTCGTACAAAATGCCGCCAATCGTTTTTGAGCAGTAGGCTAGGCGGAATCAGAATKGGAAAAGTAATCAGTGTTCATTTACACGTACCCGAGCTGCTACAAATAAATGAATGGATGAAGGATAGGACGCAACCTAGCAAATTAGCAGGAATTTCGAAACCAAAAAAACCCTAATCAAATCCAATTGCCCATTACCCAAAAATCATAACCATCCAGAGCGTTAACAACACTGGATTAATACATGCAACCAGATACTTACTTCATTTTTTCTTTCTCCAGCAATTTGTTGAACGGTGCATGTCCCTTCACACTGTGAATTATCTCATTTTCCGTCAGACTTCGCCCTAAACTTGCTTCTTCCTCCATATCTTGAATACTTTCTCGCATAGCGACCATCGTAGCTGATTCCTCTGTTCTTTCTCGTTCAAACTTCGCTTTCAAGTCTTTTAAATCATTTTCTAACTTCTCTTTAGCTCGGTTACGCTCATCTAATTCGTAAGAAAGCCGTTTAATGTCACTGACTACTTGCCCGTTTTCAAGCAYATTCTTCTCTTGTTGATCTGCAAGTTGCATTTTGCCTTCAACGTCAATCTCTTTGAGATTAACTCGATGTTCTCTTAGTTTATAAACCTCACCGTGTTGTTCTGTACCAACAAGACTCGTCTCAACACTTTTGGAAATGTCAAGTAACTGTTTTTCTTTTCTAATGGACGCTTCGTCCGTTCGTAGTTCAACATTGGTYAACTGCTTTCTTGCTTCGTTCAGCATCATCTTAATGTCGTTATATTTTCTTTGCTGTTCTCGAAGTTCTTGTTCTTCTTTGTGAAGCTTGAATGTTTTAGAGTCTTGTAATTCTTCAAGGTTTAGTCTTTCTATTTCTAATGCAGTTTGGTCTTCCTGTGCTTTTGACTGAATACGACTTAGTTCTTCTTCGAACTCTTCTTCAACGTCATCTGAAATGTTTTTATCTTCGATTTCCAAGAGCTTCAGTTGAGATTCCTGCTCATTCAGTCGTTGACGTTTTGCTTTGATTTCCTTTTCTAGATTATTCTTTTCGCTTCCCTTTGAGTTTTCAAGCTTCGAAACTAAAGCGTCTAAATCTGATCTCATGGAAGTTACAATTTCGCGCTCTTTGTTTATCGTTTCCCGACGCTGATCCGACAACTTGTCGTACTGTCTTCGTTTTGATTCCAAGTCTTCCTCGGCTTTCTTCGCAGATWCAGCGAGCTTTTTCTGCATTTCAGTGAATCTTTCCTTTGCTGAGTCAATTTTKTCATTTTCTTCTTTTGTTTTCATTTCCAATTGATACTGAGCGTTTGCTAGGCAATCCGCTGCATGGTACATCGCAGACTCGTGTTCGACTATCTTATTCGAAAGCCTGCTCTTCTCCTCGTCAAGTTCAACCTGCTTCTCCTCAAATTCAAGTTCTAGTATTTCTCTCTTCATTCTGATATCGCTTTCTGCCGCAACTACATCCTTTTCTCTTTGTGTGTACAAATATTGAAGTTCGTCTTCGTTTTCGCGTATTCTTTTCAAAGACTCGAGCTTTTCGCGTTCAAATTGTTCCTTTTCAMGCTTAGTCTCATGTTTTTGCTCTTGAAGGRCACTAAAATTGTTTTCATAATCTCTTTTCATTTCTAATAGTTGTTCTTTTTGCTCTTTTATACTTAGTGTAGCAGCATCCCACTTTTCTTTCATTTCTATTCTTTCTCTTTCAACCTGTTCTTGCATCCCAGCCTTTTCCGCTTCAATTTCCATGATTTTCTTGAGGTCGTCATTCAGACGTTTCATTTCGTCTTCTTTTTGTTGTCGTATTTTATCCTTGAGAGCTGTCACTTCATCGGATGCTTTCTGTTTTAATTTCTCACTCTTTACACGCAATTTGTCGAGCTCTTCCCTGACGTCTTTTATGTCGTGGTCGCGCTGTGCAATTTCATCGTTCAATTCCTTTTCGCGGTTGACCCGCTGGGATTCTGCTTCTTCGTGCTTACGCTCCATGTCCGATACACGTTTTCTGTAAAAACACAGGACAGCATACTAAATGACATTACAACAAATAACAATATCCCTAGGAGGCTGCTTTTGGTAGGTGATTGCCATAATCATTTTAATCAAAGGAATAATACGCGACTTCCCCCTCCCCCTGAAAGTTGTGTGAAAGCTAAATTTCGAAAAAGACCTTAAAATAAGATTAGCGGAAACCCTTGTATACKTCTGATTCAGTGGTCAAAATACTCTTATTGMTAAAAGTACATATGATTAATCAAAATGTCGTCCTAGCTTACCTCGCCTCTTCGACGTTCTGTGCCTCCATAGCATGAAGTTTTCTCTGTCGTTCAAGTTCGGCCCTAAAAAATAAATATATTAACAAAAAAAGTTTATATCATTARTTAATTGATGCTGATAGACTAACCAGGCTTAAGGTGTTTCGATCGTAATAAATAGCGCTTCGCGCGTATTTTKAARCTCCAAYTAMGTCGCAAATTTCGATTCCATTGCACTCAAATTTTCACAGAAGTCACATTGATTATCGATAATTCTTGTTGATAAATTAATTTGCCAAAAAACGAAGCCATTTGGATAAACGATGCAAAATAAAAACACCTTCATTTTTCTTCAAAGTTAATTTTCTCGAAACTCATCGCAGAGATTTTAATAAAATTTTCGGAATCATTTCTTAATAACATAATTGATATACTGACGAAGTTTCAATAAAATCTTAACCTAAAATTTCGAGTTGTTTGAGCAAAATGACGTACATTCGAACAACTCCTTCTGTGAAAGTTTGAGTGCAATTGAATAGAAATTTGCGACGTAGTTGGAGTWTAAAAATACGCGCGAAAAGCGCTATTTATTACGATCGAAACACCTTAACTGGTTGGATGTTTTAGCTTACCGCATTTCTTCAAGTCGAACTCCTTCATCGTGAATCTGTTTTTCGAATTCCGCTCTGTAATGAAGAAGTGAATGAGCAACAAAATCCACGCACATGAACACGCACAAACCAAACCAAGAAAGTTGGCATAAATAAAAGAGAATGAAATAAAAACTTTTACATTAAAATAGTATGTTGCGACTGACAAAAAGATGTCAGGGTTTCCAAGCTACGCGCAAAGTCCCAGTTGTTAGAGCGCGTACGTTGAAGCAAAAAACACACTCTTTGCAACTCTTTGTTGAAGTTGCCCCAAGATGGCCGCTGCGACGTAGCTTGAAAACGAAGMATGCTTTGCTTTGGAAAGGTCGTCAGCCCACATCATATAAGTTTCTCAACGTACCTTGCTTCCTCTAGTTTCTGTCCTTCAACTATTTTTTGWTGTTCAAGTTCATTTCTGAAAGAAATACAMATAATGAGAAGGATTTTTCGATAAAGTCTGTGAAAAAACTCCTCATACCTGGCTTTTTCCAACTCTAATGTCAAGTTACCTTCCCTGGTAAACACAAAAAATGAAACTGATTTAGATTTTATTGAAGTTAAGTAAATGTGTTAGAGCTAGGTGAACGAAAATCTTAGTCAAGTTAGACATTTAAACAAAAAAAAGCAGGAGAATTGGAAAACTTGTATATTAACACCAACAAACACACATACTTAAAACAACAACAATTATGACAGAACAAACATTGAAAAAACACGACAAATAAGAAATTTAAAAAGGTCGAAGTATCAACTTTTATAAAAAACATAAACGTCCACACGACTTACAAACTTTTTTTCAAAACAAAATAAAACGAAACAACAACAACAACAACAACGACGACAACAACAACAACAAGAACAACAACAAAACAAAAACCCTGAAATATGGTGGTGTAATGAGAAGATATTTCGAAAGTTTAAGTTATTTGTAGTAAAATAAAAAATAAACGATAAAGACAGCAAGTACTTTTAATGGACAATAATTTAAGTTATTTACCCTTGTTTCCGGAAGAGGTCTGTTTCACTGCGGAACTTCGTTGACCAGGCAATACCAGATATGGAGGACTAAATACAAATGACTCACGTTACAATCATTATAAATATCAGCCGTCATTATTTAAATCTGCCACCCATCTGCAACTTATTCAATAATGCATTTCAATGTTCCCAGTTATAMTGAGCTGTTCACATATCAGGATCTTGAGACAGTTGCTTGCTCTAAACGCGGGGCTGCTTTAGCCTCCCGCACATGCATTGATAAGAGCCGAGGGCTTCTTTTTTTCCTTTCTCGTCACYGGTGCCTAACGGTCAATATGACCGTTTGAAAGGAAGCACAAAGAAGGAGAAAAGAAATRCATGGCATACAAAGCTCATTTTTTTCAACTTCCCAAAGATCGATATCTTGTGCACATGAAGCGAAACGGACTTTGTGAACAGCTTCGTGTAAACAGATCCTTACAACACCACAGAATAAACTCTCAGCTGCCAAAGTTCCAGCTGTTTTACGTTTCGATTTGACGCGTAMGAYTAATCTGGCTCCAAGAGCCGGTCAGGGAYGATTTTCCAAAAAAGGGGGTGGGGGCTTGAAGCYGTAAGGGGCAACCGTTCCAGTCGACACTACTTTTTCGTAAAAACGCGGTCTTAATTAATCAAGATGATAATCAATCATTTCTGTAGATGACTATCGTCTTGTTGTCGTTCAGCAAACGATCAGTAATAACAATTAGTCATCAAAAACACTGACTTACCGACTAAAATTCCACCAGACAAACAGAAGAACGTATGTTAAAACAGAAACATTACATCATTAGATATCATCATTATGTCATTAACACATCATCGTTACGTCACTACCCGTCATTAATACGTCAATACAATATGAATTACTGTAGGCTCAATGCCAACTGCCATCTTTTCATAATTTGCTGTTATACCGATAACTAGCTGTGCTCACTAAACTGCCGCTATAAATGGCCGCCAAAGTTTTTATATTAATTTGCATAAAAGTCCGTGGTGAGTATACTCCTGCTTACCTATGATTGTTTGTTTTTATAGATTTTGAGTTTTGAAAAACCGAAAGTCAAAAGGCGTTTGCCCTAATAATTCGGATTCTTCTGAGAAAAGTACAATCTTTTTTGAATTTCAATATTTTGGATGCAAATAAACTACGTCATTGTACGACCACCTACAGGTGACTATCACTGAGACTTGCAGTGACAGTTTTTTGTTAATTAGATTGATTTCCCATTAAATTTGACATGGAAAGATAGTCGTTTAGCTTGGGCCAATATTAGTACTCTATCTTAGTAAAAAGAGTTAAACAAATACAAATTATAACATCAATCTTTTCACTTTTTGGTTAAGAGTCCATTTCCAGTTGTTTGTGCCGGTTTGCGAATTTCGCTCCAGTTGTCAGATACAAAAGAATCAAGACGAGACGCAGTGCGTACAGCTCAGTCAATTGTGAAAAACTATTGTCTTTTGTCTATTGTCTTGATTCGACTGCTACTGAGGCAATTGATCTTTAGCAATTAACTGAGCCAAACGTCATACACAAAAGGCACTCACTGACTGATCAATTCGCAAAAGGCAGAAATTGCTTGGAAAATGCAGTCCTCGTACTTTTTTCCGATTCCCTAAAATCACCAAAAACTGTTTTGAGCGTTTGCTTTGTGTCGTTTATGAAAACTAAATAAGGTATTTTTGGGATTATCTTAGAGAATATATAAACGTTTGAGTGCTGTTTTTCCCATCATGCTTTTCGCTCGAATATGGTGCGTCTGTACAMAATACTAACATGAAACTAAGTTAACAGTCCTGAAATACAACAACGGGAAAATAAACTACTCCTTGGAATTTCATTGCAAAATGAAATTGTCGACTTTTTGACACCACACTTGTTCTGAGAGTTTTTATGGCTATTTTTTCTCTTGATAAGGCGATAGTAACTTGTCTTAGGGGAAATCACAGTGTTAAAGAATATGCCGTACGACGTCAGAGTGCATGATAAAGAAAATGTTGCACAACGTGTGACGTCAGAGTAAATATTGAAGAAAATGTCGTTTTATCGCAAAGAAAACGTTGTACAATGTGTGACGTCAGAGCTTGATATTGACTTCAGGACACGAGAATTGATTGTTAGCTCTCCGCCAATCAGAAGCGAGTAATACAATTTGAATTTGTAGCGTTATTTACATACCTTTCTCTTTTCCCGTAATTCTGCTGCCTCGCGAGGATGGTTAAAACGAAACACGTTGGTTTGTCCAAGTATGATGACGTCACCTGTAGTTACAAACAACTAGTATTATTCCAGGTCTTTCTAGAATGAATGATCATCGGACAAGTGAAAATATTCCTTTGATATAGAGCAAGGATACCGATTGCTGCGATATGTAGGAACTTGCCTTTTTGTTTACATTTTCATCAGGAAAACCTAATGAATTTAGTAAAAATATTCGATTTTGTGTTTGTTGTTAGGACAGTTTCAATTCCACTGGGAAAAACTGCTCATTGTTTGTGATTATTCTATGCGAAGAAGCGATCGGTGAATTAAAATCATCCATTTTGTTTTATCAAGATATGCTCTGTCCCCAATCACATGTAATTTCCCGTCCCTATCCCCCAAAAGCGGAAGACACTAGTGTTCAATAACATAGTATTCGTGCMAGTCCCACCTATAAGGTCGTTATAAATGGACAAAATGACGACCGCTTTTTCAGCCACACGGGAAGAGATAATAATAATAATAACAATCTTTTATTAGGAAAAACTATCACATAAGTGTGGTTTTCATAGAATTCCTAAAATAAATAAGATAGATAAAAAAGGAAGATAAATGGTAGGATGGGGGGATTGAAAGAGGCGCCAAAAGAGCCCAATTCTGAGCGTTTCTTATATACTCTCTGTAAGGGACTGACGCGAATAGATATTGCTAACCATACCTTGAAATAGTCTTGTTGGCTTTGACACCTGAGAATTGTTCACATAACACATGGAATCGAACGGGTCCAGGACGACCTTCGACTTGGACTCATACAAGAACGCACAGTGTTCGTCGTTAGTGTCAGGACCGCTGATCACTACACATAAACAACATAATTAGCAATACACTGATCATTTTAACTCAAATTCCAAGTATATATTAAATATTTCAGAAATCATGGGATATCATCGCTGATAAGTTGCCTCGCACTAGTACTTTCTGAAAACAATATTGGCGATATCCCATAATTTCTGATATATTTAATATATACTCGAAATATGAGTCAAAAAGATCATAATTTCTGAATATGGCTGTATATACATAAACATATTCAGAAAAGGTGAAGGTGAAACAACTTACTGACGTTTCGGACATTAATCCTTCGTCGGAGTAAAAAGACAAAGAAACGACAAGAAATGCATTATTGTGCGCTCTATAGCCGTTCAAAGGGAGATTTCGTGGTTTCATAGTGAGCACACCAACTCCGTACAGTCAAGAACTCATGGAAAGAGCAATGTCTAGAAGTCTAGAAATGTCAGATTTTGTAATTAAGAGCTTTATGTTAAAAACATACATAATTCACCATGAAGTTATTTTTAGCGAACTAGAATTTTCTCAATAAAAAGGAAACAAAGAAATTCTAAAACAATTCAATGAAGTTTGAYGCAATAAAGAAAAAAATACGTGAAAATATTCCAGTGTTTTATTTTTTCAGAAGCTTTTTACGATTTATAGCCACAATATCTCGTCCTATAATAAGCTTTAATCAAAAGAGCTATTGTTTTAATGACAGCTTGTTATAGAAACAATTCATCGCTTTCTTTCAACTCATATACACAATCAAAAATATTTAAAAATATATGATCAAACCCTAAATCAAACTCTTCAGTTTAATTACTTGGTACAAGATTATTAAGCGAATTACTCTTGAGGAACGATATAAGTCCACAATTGAAAGAAAACAAATTCTTCAAGTTTATGACCATAATCTTCATTAATTATTTACTACAAAATGAGTCTCAAATCCGTACCCTAAATTCGTACATTTGAGTACAAAACCTACTCAAAATAAACTTGTATTCATTATTTTTTGTCAAWCAAGTTCATTCCTTCTTCTGCAAAGTTTTTGCTTAAAAAATATATCGCTTAAAGGTTGCTAGGTGAATTGACTTATTTGCCTCGGTCGAAGAACTGATTGTTCGACAGTTTGAACTGATATTCTTGGCAAATGTTGTGTAGTTAGGTTTGTCCCAAGGCCAGAGCGTGGACAGAGCAAAGGTCATCATATAGTTACAAGTCAGACATTGAAACTGTTTACATGCATCACCTCTGTATTCTTAACATTACCTATGTCTTGTTTCTTGCTTTCTCCATGCCCAACAGTTGTTTTTCCTTCCTGAAAACCGAGAATACATTCAAATAAGTGATAATTCTATTTCAATAAACACCTATATACAATATTATGTAATCCGCTTAACCTTTAAATACGGTTCCAAAAACTTTTTAAACTCTTCAAGATCCATGTATCCCGTTGAACCCTACGAAAACTAGCTCTAAATCAAAGTTCAAAGGAAATACACGATGCTATTTTAAGGCAAACATCATTCACGTAAAGCCGGTTCCATGGCGAACGATTGCAAAACCTAGTTTATGTTTGACGAGCGGTGTTGTAATTATTCAAAAGTTTAATGTAATTGTTTACATGGTCATTTACATTCAAATTGATTGGCTACAGTCTTTTGTATTATAACAATAACAAGAATGCTTGGCATGTGCAAAATATGAGGCCGATAAATAAAGCCGCTTTCAGGGACTTTTATTAGCAATGTTTATTGGATGTCCATCAAGTCACCTTTAAATGGTAAACAACGATGCCAGTGCTGAGAAGGTCGTCATCAACCAACACAAGATGTGGCAATACTGAGTCCATCTTGATTCCAACACCTTCTTGCTTTAGCTTCATTTCTCGTTCCTGGTAAAAATGATTTGCAGAAACTATAATAATGGAAACTGATCAACACTATACACTGCACGCAACAACACTCACACTGGCCGCTTTAGGACTGGAGCCGAAATTCAGTTCTGGAGAGAAACAACACGAATGGAATGAAAAAAAAAAAAAAACAACAACAACAACAACAAAAAACGAGTTGAGAATTTTCCAATGAACAGGCACAATAAGCCTTATAGGAGTTTAAACAACATAGCTCAAAATGATGTGCGTGCGTTGGGATAAAACTGAATATCTATAAGAGAAAAGGAAAGAACAATCATTTCGTTTTATTGCTCTCTTTTTTATTACATTTTTTTCCCGACACACGCAGAAAAATGTTAAACTCGGTTTGGTTTATTGTCCTACGCTCGTCCTGCGACGACAAGTAACTCCAACTCCAACCACTAAAATGAGGGAGGGAGGGGGAGGGAGGGAGGGGGAGGTCAGTTTTCTTCAAGGTTTTAGAATGAGATTTTATCCAGGATTGTACTGTAGTTTTATTTGCTCGCTCAAACTGACAGAAACTCTTGTATTTTGCTTTTAATTAATTGGTCAGATAAACGAATTCTTGTTGCTCAGGATTCAGTTCTGTCAGTCGTGTCTACGAAAGAACAATCAACCAAAATCATCCAAATATCAGATGTTGGGCAATACAAGGGTGTCCTACAGGCTTCAAACAAACTCATTAAGCAAGAAAACAAAAGGAACATCTCTTGGTATTTGATAGAAAACTCGACATCATGTTATAAAATACAACATCACCGAACAAGGCCTGACCAAACAGCAAAATGTTAAATTGTCTAACTAAACAATGCCTGGTTCTAAAACATAAAGTGGAGGCATTCCTACTCACCTCGAGGATCTTTTGTGTTTCTTTCCAGGTATCCTTCCACTTGTCAGTCAGTTGCATTACTCTCGCTTCGTTCTCTGATAGTTTCTTGGCTGCTGCTAGCTCTGCTTCTCCAAGAAGATCCTGAGAAAAATCACGCATATATTGCTTTTATAATTCTTCTTCGTRACCATTCACAATTTCGCGGGTGACTAAAAATGTCTTCTTGGAGAAGGGATTTTTAGCTGACCACGAAAAAGTGTAAACAATGACAAATATGTTGGTTGTAATGGTGATACAGTCATGCTCAGAAGAAAGCCTGCTTATACATCCGCATTTGATTTCAAAGCACGGCGAAAGGCGACTGTATTTGCATGATAGAAATAAAACATAGAGGCGACTGTATTTGCATGATAGAAAGAAAACATAGAGTTCACATTCTCGTTTATCAACCACTCATTACTTACCGGACTAATCATTGCTTTTAGTTTTTCAATCTGACTTCTTAGTTCTCTGATTAACTTCACATTAGCATCCTATAAAATTAGCCAAAACAATACAATAAACAAGAACAGAAAAAATCTTAGGCCTGGACTTGCACTAGGGTCTGGATATGCACACTAAAATTGTGTCTTGCATTCACCATAAATTCTCAGGTGCAAGAGTGCGAAACAAATTCTGCATGCATTATTTCCTTAACGTTGACCTGAGCGACACCTCCCGACCACACACACACACAAAAGGAAAAAATACATAAAATCAGAAAGTTCGAACTTTCCATGTTACTCTGTAGTATCTCTGTTACACCTCAGTTCTGCACGGCTAATAATACGTTATTGATAGCAAACTGGAACGAAGGTGATACCGGATGCAATGCAGGTTAGTTATTGCCAGCAAGAAGTGAAAAAATCGCAGAGTGTGTCCTTAGCTAAACAGCCTTCACAGGCGAGGAGGCTGCTCCATGGCCTAAGGGTCGACTTTCACCAATGAAAAATGATGATCTGCTTTATTTGTCACTTCTGTCTGATTTTTTAACGCGCCCTCACCATTACTTTTAGATTTCTCCATCACCGTCTAGTCATTTAAGTAAGTCTGCCTACGCTTTTCTTTGCAAGAAATTGTAATTGCGAGATTACCTCGTTAACTGTAGGTTTGTTGATAATATTCTTGGCTCTGTTGGCATATCGCAGAGTACTCATTGTCTCAGCATAGTTGATATCGGCAGGAGAAATAGCTGACAAGACGAACATTGCATTAGTCAAAGATCCAATGCACAATGTATGGAAATAACAAAAACTTGAAAATTAGTTAAAATATCTCATTTTGAATGATTTACAAAAAGTATCCCAAGAAAGTGTGACTAACTCTTTGATAGTATTGAATGCTTGCTACTGTATAAACCTTATTGCTGCTAAAAAACTCACTTGCTATCATGACAGTCTTTGAGTTCCCTCCAAGACTGTCCTTCAGTAGCCATGTTAATACCGAGTCTCTGTAAGGAACAAACTTGTGATGACCACCATGACCAGTAGAAGCATCAGCTAGAATGAATCAACGAAACAMTGTAAGAATAGATGCTTGATTGATTGATTGATTGAATGATGATGGTTGACTGACTGATTGAATGATTGCCATGGTGATGATTGACTTAATGATTGAATTGATAATTGATTGAATGATTGATGATATGATGCACATATCTGGACATTTTAAAAATTGTATGTGGCTAGAGATTGTAAATATACTTTTACTCCATGGTGAGAATAAATACATTATGATTTCTCCAGTATATACCTTACCTAATGCAGATATAACAGTTCCAAGGGTGACTAGTGATTTATTGATGTTGGCTCCTTCTTTGAGTCTTTCACCTGTCAAACCTGTTGCATCAGCCCTTTCGCTGATACATGTAGTACAAATTAGTTGAAGAAGAGATTATCAATCATTATGAACTATACAAATTTTTATTGAGAAAGAAAAACATCTTGGAGCAAACAAAATTTAATCTCATACACATCTATGGTGTCTTTAACCTGGAGTATGTTGACTGCTTAACAGCCATTGCTCCAAATACATGAAGTGTCATTGTTCAACCCTAATGAACATAAACATTAAAAGAGTAAGAATAAATAAAGTTACCTTCCAGCCAAGTCAACCAGGTTCATTTTACTAGCAGTTTCACAAGGCATATCCATGTCAAACTTGGCCTGAACAAAAACGTTACAAACTGTTACTGCTTGGATATCGATAGTCAGCAAGTGCAGTAGAAGCCATATAAGAAGACTTGACTGACCTGTTTAAAGTTCATAGTGAAGATAGCATGTGACCTGCTGCTAACATCATTCATCCCAGTACTTGCTGTCACTCTATCAAACAAAGCAAAGAAAAATAACACATCAAACTTTAAAAGGAGTCAGTCAATGTTTATAGCATGTGTATATAGAGTCTCCAAAGGCTGATTTACACAATATGATGCGTATTGTTGTGTGTGACTTGAAGTGAACRTCTTATGGCCCTATGGCTTGTCCTAACCCTAAGCCAATCAGTCTTCCATCAAAATGCCATTTGTCAAAATGAAATTAACCTTGTTCATCATTTGATTATCTAATATCAACTTGGAGTCACAATCTTACCTGTGTGAGTTTCCTTGGTCCATAAGATGTTGTATGGCTCCATAATCTGTTACTAAATGTTTGGTCAAATCTGTTGAAAAGTTAATAAGTATTATGCATTAAATGACTTGGTAGAGCACTGGTTGCACTAAGTATTAGCACTTCTATTACAAACATACTACATTGCACTCAACAGATAATTTCTTACAGAAGAGAATTATGAAATCTATGGAGTGGGCAACATCCATTTTTTGAACAACTGGCCCCATATTGTCAACTATTAATTCCTGGTCATACAAGAGGTAGACCTTTGGATAATTCTTGGGGTGGTTTAAAGATACTTTCCCCACAGGGTCTTATTTTTTCAGACCAGCACATTTTTAGTTAGATTAAGTGCATATTTGTCTTGCTGCAATGATTTTTTTTATTTGGCAAAGGCTTGGGGGATGTGCATTATTCCCCCCCAGGATTCATGCAATTGTCCCTGGAATTATCAAATAGTCTATCCATAATGGATGCATACCTTGAACATACGGTCCCTCTTTTGGATGTTCTCTTACTCGCAAGGAATGTACAGGCTGACCTTTGTCTGGGGGTCGTAACAAGTCCCTAACTCTCTCTTGGTAAATTTCCAAGAAGCTGACTTCAGTTCTAAAGGACAGCCCATCATCTGCATCAGAGTTTTCTCTCATTTGCTGGAACATCTTTTGACATATTCTAGGTATAAGACCATCATTATCACCATGCCCCATCATTGTAAATGTTTTCCCTGAACCTGTCTGTCCATAAGCAAAGATACAACTGTTGTATCCTTCAAATGCTGACTTGACAACATCAGTACCTAGATCCTTGTAGACCTGAAAAATAACAACCCAGTATAAGAGGCATGTAATATAAGGATCATATAGGACCATTCTTGTGGGTGTAGAGGAGTCTATACTGAGCAAGGACAATTCAATAACAAATAATTAAATACAAAGAAAGATAAATACATGAAGAGCTATAATTGTGCATTAAACAATAATAGTCAAGTTACATAAATTATGGGCTTGGACTGCCTGTGGTCTCTGTTAGTAGGAAGTGGGTACTGTACAGTAGTATGTACATCATATACTGTATGACACATGCATATGTCAGCTGCCACGTTTTCTTTCTCTCAATGGTGTCTGCTGTCTTACTGTTGCTAAATTGGTATCCCTTTTAGTGCTAGCTATTCACTTGTTAGTTAGTTCTACTGTATACCGTATTTACTTATGTATAAGCCGCTCTCRTAGATAAGCCGCACCCCGAGTTTTTAGGAGCGTTTTTGAGGGGAAAAAAAGGCAAAAAATAAACTTTTCTCTTTTTGATCGCCACTTGCCAACACAGCTTTCTTTGATTTTAAAGTGCTTTTCCGCTGCTCGAATTCCGTGATCCAAATTAGCATCGCGTTACCACAACAACTCCAAGACAACGATTCAAAATGCTCTCTGTTCATTGGCTCAATAACCACGCACTTTTCAGTGAATTATTGACTGGTGTTTCTCAGTGCTAGATTTTCGAAGAATTTATAGTAATACTGAGAAGTTTGGATTAAAATTTCTGTTCTCGCTGTCCTGTCTGCAGTAAGTAGCACCGTGAATGCTATAATTTATGCAAATTAGTTTTTATCGGGCATTTTTACAAGTCTTCTTGTAGATAAGCCGCACCCCCGATTTGGGAACGATTTTTTTGGAAAAAAAGTGAGGCTTATACATGGGTAAATACGGTATTCAGTTGTAAGGGCCACATTATGCTTTTTTCCTTTTGCCATAATGTGCAATACATATGACAAACCTATCTGGTTAGCAGGGGAGTATCCCTTTCATTGCGGGGTCCTGACATACCAAATTGTCACTGTGACGTCATATGATGTCATATCAATCAATGGTTATCACACTTTTTTGGCTTTGAAATGGATGTCACTGGCATCCTGTGACCCCCTGGATATGTCCCTGGTTATTATGGACACTATCACCATTATAGACATAACTAATATACACAAAAAAATTGCAGTAATTCTGTTTCGTCCCCACGTGCCTGAGTAGCGGCCCCTTAAGGGGATTGGGGAGGGCTKGCCGAGCGGGGAGTGGAGAGGAAAAATAGGAATGGCCTGCAGCAGAAACCCACAGTTTTACAAAATCTACAGTGGAATATGGACGTAAATTCCTCATTGGTCGAGAGGAACAAGCTGTGAATCAAATGTCAAAGTAATAGATACCGGTTTAGATATAATAATCAAGAAAAAATAGCGACAAGCTTTGGCCTGGACTTTGACCTGGACTTTTTCCTGTTGGTGTTAAGAATTTTCTCATACTGACAGCGGTTTATTTTGACAACTGTAAAGTTAGATTTTCCAGGCTTTTAAATTATTCATTAGGGGATGTTTTGTAAAACTGTGGGGTTCTCCTCCCCATTCTCCGCTCGACCCTCCCCAATCCCTTAAGGACCGCTCAAAGGCTAGTCACCACTGCCACAGGGATCCCATGAGATTGCAGTATGCAAGCACATAACAGTGCTGCTATCGCTCCGTGCTGAGGAGTTTTATCACTTCCAACTTTAAATCATCATAGTTTTACAAGTTTATAAAAAAAATTTTGGCTTCCTTTWATACACAAGCAAAGTAATTAAACCAAAAACCAACCTAAAATCATCAAAACTGTCATCAAACACTCATCCTTTAATAGGTCAACAGGGCAACAACCATGACTTGACTGATATTTCATTACAAAAACAAAATTTAGTAATTATGCAAATTTATTCTAATCACCATGCTTTAAAGATCTGTACACTTGAAAGTGAACTTAAAAGTGTCAATTTATTCTATAACTCCAAAAGACAAACAAACTTTGAAAAAAATCACATCTTTACCATTTGATCAMGTTGTTTCAATCAATGCCCTGGGCTTGGAGTATTTCATATTTAGGAAAGAATTAATATAATGTGTCAATTGTTTTAATATAAAAAAAGAGCGATTAAGTCTGGATTAGCACTTAAAATAGCGTTAACAGAAAAAATCGAAACGAGTACATGTTAGTTTCGATCTAGAGCATATTCTGAAAGCTGGGGAAAATGAAAGTTACTTTTCACTGAAGTTTTGGGATTACTTCTACTAAACAGCTGTTAAAACCACAAAATGTAAATCTCACGCAAAAATCTTGGAATTATAATACATTTTCGGTAATAATTTCAACTGAAAAATGACCACAAAAGCCGGAAATTATTCTGAATGTGATTTGCAGACAAGACAACAAAAATAACGATTGTGCTAACACAAGAAACAGCAGCAATTTTAGTAATCATTTGTTTGCAAAATTTCGATGAATTATGCAGTTTCGTTATTATTAGCGCAGTATATTTCTCTACTTTTCTCTCATGAGAATGCCTATCAGACCGGCTAGAATGAAGCACATAAGCTTACRGTATAAACAACAATAATAAAGTGGATTCGAATTACCTTTTGTTGCGTTACAAAATGGCTACTATTCTCATCTGCCGACCAATATGAATAATCAAAAGAAAAGTCTTTTACTGTATGTTTTCGTTCTCCATCTGAAGACATCGTAGAGCTCTGTAAAAAAACATTAAGTCAAAATTAACATATTACACGTCAATTTCATGGCGTATGAATTTGTGCGAGTATTCGAGAAGCACTACTCAAAATATGTAGCGTGAAAATTCGAGTGGTTTATAAAATCAAAAGAAGACTAACCTTCAGATTGTAAATCCGTGTCTTTTTVCCTTCCATTTCGATGATTGTCTGTGCTTCCATATCAAGTTCTCTGGTAAATAGAAATTCGACAAACTTTGACATACAAAAACATTGACAGAAGTGTCCTCAAAGTCAACGGTGAATTTCGTTGTAAACAAATGAGTATATCAACTTATTAAATGAGCCCTTGTAGCGAAAAATAAACTGCTATTAAAACAAGACAATTTACCTTTTGTTCAGAGGCCTCACTCGAACAGCAACTTTTACAGAGGCCATGGTTTAAATCGTGGAAAGCAAGGTACTCTGTCAAGCCCAACACAATTTACTTTCAATATCACATCAACAAATCCGCCGACTTTGYTGACTAATTTTGCATTCTTTACAGGAGTTTCCGAACAAATGCGTATAACAGTACATTCTTCAGCATTTCATAGCTTAAGAGAAACCGCCATTTAAACTATGGGCCCATTTCCCAAGATTTTTTTGAAGAAAATATTGCACTTGTAACGTTGAAAATCAAACAGGTCTTCAAGGGGAGCTCTCATGTAAACGAGGCAATATTTGTCACGTGCTCATTAAATGTAACGCTTTCTTTCATCACGTACACTTGTCATGTTTATTTTTACAGCTTTCTCGAACGTTTTGAAAAATAAAATCCAAAATTTAAACTCCTTCAAATGCTAAAAAATGAGAAATGACAGAATTGTGCTTTAACTCAACAAAAAGTGCCAGTCCTCTCTTCTGAAGTGGTCTAAAGTACATACAATGTATTGTCACAAGCATGTAACATGTAAAAACCAATCTAAGCAGGTCCACATCAGATTAGCTTTCTTTAGATTAACCTGCTTTTACCAAATATAAAATATGTATGCTATTATGACAATGTACTTTCTTATAAATTGCGTATCACTTTAGTGATGGGCGGCCTGCGGTCTACCCTGGTTATTTTTTTAGTCATTTTATTGTGTAAAAATTACGATATGTAATAAAAAATACCTAGAAAAGGAGAGAAAACGTCTGCCATCAGGGCGACCTAGTGTTCTCAAGTCGTGGACGATGCCTGGGGGTAGGGACTCCCTAATAAAAAGGACAGGGGGTCCTCGTCGGAAATTCTGAAAATGACCATAAAAGGGACCTGTATTGTGAGATGATGGGCGTGGCAGTGCTGAAATTTCATCCCTGAGAGGAACCAATCGATAAATAACAGGTCATTTTGTTTTAGTTTCCCGATTTTATTTGTGTTTTGCACAAATCAAACGCCGTTGGCTCGTATTGAGATCAATGATCTAATTGGCAGTTATGGTTGTTGTGATCTTATAATTACGGCTTAGGGTCATCGTATACCTTGGTATACCCTAAGAGGGACCACAAAACTCAGTTGGTGGGAATTCTCATCATTTTCATAGTAAGCGGGACCAAAACACTGATTTGAAACACTAATAGGGACGACGAGGACCCCCGCCCTTTTTTTATTAGGGAGTCCCCCTCCCGGGGGACGATGATGCTCCGGCTCCAAAAGAGAAAATTTTGAGACTTGCTTTCCAACACCCCCACCCCCTTAATGTTCGTTCGAAAGTACTATATGCATAATTTCGATTGTTAATACTCTCTACTTCCTGMCGTGAATTTATTCTCTTGTAACGGTAACATTACTGTTATTATTACTCAAATCCGTGTAAAACAATTCAGCAAATGACATCTGACACTGATAGATAGAGCGATACAATCCAATTAATCAGAAGCGAATCAGTCGCTACCAATCAGTCAAATAAATGAAATGATAGGGAAAAAATAATGCCAACAAATGAATACGGTAGATCAAGGATATGCACCGTCTATGAAGGATGTCTATCAATCAATCAACGGTGGTACCACGATTGATTGCTCAGTATGATGTACATTGTCTGCAAAAATTCGATATTCAAAAAATAATCATTATACTTTTTTAAAAAAATCGTGTTGTCTTTCAACTGATTCAACTGAGTGCCAAAGTGGTGACGTCACAAAATGAAATTTACCTCGAAACAAAAATCATATTCAGTAAACAGTCCTCTTTGAAGCTATAAATTTATGTCCTTCTTGAATATTTGAACGA